GTTAATGGTTGGACCCAATGATCTTAAACATTTTTTCCAACCTATATGATTCTGTGATTCTGTTTCTACACCTTTGCTCACACAGACTTGCTTTCCTCCATAGCAGGCTCTGCCATCTGGTCTTGGGGCCTCCCTACATCTTTGATCACAGTAAAGGAAGAAAAACATCATATTATTAATTTCCTCTCAGTTCTCTAATTTCCCCCCTTCCTTGTCTTCCTGATTTCTCTGTGGCCATTGCATTGATTTGAGTTTCTTTTGTGGCTTTTTTCAGCTTTATTGCTTATGAAAGCAAGTCATACACAATCAGGCTGCCAGTGCCTGTCAGTTAGTGTGTCACAAGTCCTCAGACCCCCTAATATTTTTTGACCCTGTAGCTAATTTAAGCCAAATTTGACAGCAGAATAGACATCCTGGAGTTAATTAAGTGCCTGCAAGTTTGTGAAAATAAATAGATAGGTATAAAAAAGGGAAACCCCACAATAAAACCCTCCCTGAGCAAAATTCAGCACTGTCTTTCTTCCCAATTAGACAGTAGAGAATCAGTGTCTGAGTTAAGGGGGGACCCATGGCCATAACCACCGTGCTGGGGGCAGAGAAATAAATAGTGAGAGCTCACTGTCTCGAGCACTGTCAGTCAAACGTGATACATGAAAGCTGCAGCAAGGCTTCTTATTTACAGCTGTGCCTATGAAATGATTTGTTTTAGTAGATGACCTTGTCCCTCCTCTCTCCTTCTCTGTTTCCAGTAACAAGAACATTAATAAATACAGTAAACCATAATAATACATTAGCTGGCTTACAATGTGGCAAACGCTGGTTGTGTTGCAAAATGCCACAGGAGAAGATGAGTCAGGTTATTTTAGGGTATCTTTCCATCTGGGGTACTGATACAGCCTATCCTATCAGCCTGCCTGCAGACCTCAGTCTATGGTCTTTGTCTTGGCAGTGTGCAGTTTTTCAGTACTGTTATCTCTATTATTCAGAAAGAAAACTGAGTTAAATGGGGGGGAAGGGGGGGGAGTAAATTACTAGATAGATCACAGTTGCACAGGACTTTTTTGGTATGCATCTTTTTTCTTTTCTTTTTTTTTTTTATTTCCTTATCCCCAAAGATGCATATCTTGTGCCATTCACTCTCCTTCCTTTCCGCTGCCTCCAGAAGCTGAATGTGACCATGAGAAGCAGTGTGTGTTCTTTCTAGATTTCTTCCTTATATGAGTCATAGTTTGTGCTGAGTGTACAAATTTCTGAATTTCCCCTTTGGTCTGAGGTGTTTCCTGCAGCTGGCAGGTCCCACAGCTGGAGCTTGGGGTTGGTGCCTTCTTGCATTCCCACAGTGCAGCTGCATGGAACACAAGTCTTCGTGAGCCTCCAATTTCAATCATACATCTCTATCCCCCTTCCTCTCTAGGTCCTCCTCATGGACACACTAACTCTGTCTGTTTATTCCTCACATGACTACCTGTGCCAGTGTCTCACCACCCTCACAGGAACGAACTTCCTAATATGTAATCTAAATCTACTCTCTTTCAGTTTAAAGCCAGTCTCCCTTGTCCTTGTCCCTACGAGCCCTTGTCAAAAGCCCCTCTCCAGCTTTCTTGTCAGCCCCTTTAGGCACTGGAGCTGCTTTAAGGTCTCCCCAGAGCCTTCTCTTCTCCAGGCTGAACAAGCCCAGCTCTCTCAGCCTGTCTCCACAGCAGGTGCTCCAGCCCTCTGAGCATCTTTGTGGCCTCCTCTGGACTCACTCCGACAGCTCCACATCCTTCTTATGTTGGGGGCCCCTGAGTTGGACACAGTGCTGCAGGTGGGGTCTCACAAGAGCAGAGTAGAAGGGGAGAATCACCTCCCTTTTCCATTCTTGTTTCAAGAGCAGGTTTGGGTCAGCCTCCACACGTGAAGCTGGCTTTGCTTCCTCCTTGCTCATCCTTTGTGTCACTTCCATAATATGTTGCCTTCAACAGGCAGCATTTCCACAGGACCACTCGCTGTGCTGAGTGCAAGCCTTGCTCCTGGTTTAATGCTTGCAATAAGAAGTTACAGCCCTTGCCCCATCCAGAAAGTGGGTGATTTCTGAGGCTAAGACAGGGTGTGATTTTATGATCCATACCTGTTGTTCTGATGTCTGTCTAGAAAAGATGGAGTCTGGAACAGGCTGCCAGCGCAACATGTCCAGAAACAGATCTACACAAACACTGAAAAGAAAACTTGTCTTGGACCCATCTGGACCATGGGTTTGCAAGCAGACCCGTAGGTAGCAGTGTAAGTTGGTACAGAACATATAGCACACCTTTTCCCTCTTGATAGCAGGTTTTTTGTTTGAGGGCTGTGATCCCGTATCATGACCTCATGGTCCTCATAGTCAGTGAATCCCTGAGGCAGGAGAAGGTTGTGCTTCCCACGGAGCTGGAGGTGCCGGAGGGGCAGGGAGTGAGAGGAGAGCTACGAGGGAGCCTGCAGCATCCATGCCAACAGGTACATGCTTTAATCAAAGCACATTCACAGCAGGAGCAGATACACTGCCCAGGGATGGAGGAACAAAGTAAATGGGGTTTTTTTACTGGTCCAGACAAAGCTTTGTAGTATTTGAACTACGCTGAAAAGCCATAAGCCAGATGAGCTGTAAAAAAAATGTTCAGAAGGATGCTCCTTTCTGCAGAGAGGCGCTGCACAGTGTGTTTTCAAACCTTTCTCTCTAAACTGTATTTTCCTTCTTGGAACAATACCTTTTTCCCAGTTCATCCTGTGTTTTCATAGAACATTGCTTTAGGAAATGGCCCTTCTGTATCTACTTGATGTGCTTGCTTTCAGAAGTCCCACCACAAGCACTTGGCTGGTGCAAGTCCAGCTCAAGCACCATGTACTTCACAGAAAAAGCGTGGGATTTAGAAATGAGGGAGAGGAAGGAGCATGCACTGGTGGAGAAGTGCAGTCAGAATAGCTCAGAAAGCCACAGAGCAGCCTTCATCTGATCCTTCTGTCCCATCCCTCGCCAGGGGCTTTTGGGCATCTCCATGGAGTGGTTCTCCTCTAGGCTGCCTCCGAGTTATCCGTGTTCCCTGGGCCCTGACCTGTACTCAGAACCTGCTATGGCACTTACAGGCATAAGTGAAAAATAAGAATGTTTTATTAATTTTGGGAATGTTTTATTAAGCAGTCTTTCCCTTTTTTCTTCTTTTTTTCTTCTTTTATTTGAAGTATAAAATAATTTTTCATTTACTCTCCTGTGGAAAGTTATTTCAGCTTTTACATGTCCCACCAGATTCAGAAGGAGCTATTAAAGCCTTCAAAACAGCTGAGAACAGCATATTGGTACCTGTGAAAGTCCCTGATTTAAGCTTTGATTCCTAGCAGGCTTCTCAGGTCTGTAGACACGAGGTAGATCCCAGGGGAAAACTGGAACTATTTCTCACTGGTAAAAGTCTGTGGTTTCTGTGTCTGGGGGCCTCAAAATAGCCTCTGATTATTTTTGCCTGCAGACAGGAGTTATAGTGCAGGCTGTATTTGTCAGTCCTGGCATCCATGGAAAGTAGTTGAGGGCAGGACAGTGTTGAGAGGTAATGCTCCTGTGAAGGAAAGCTTTAAAGCAGAACGCATCTCTGCCCCCCAAGATTCAGAACAAAGACCCATGAGGACAGCTGAGTTTTCAGAAGGCACAAAAGGTGAGAGGGGGTGGGCAGTGTTTAAATCATCTTTTTCCACGTTTTCACCCACCACACAACAGCCTGTACCGCCCTTAAGTAAGGGTTGATGGTGCCAAAGGCACCATGTGTGATCTGGAGACAAGCAGCTTCAGAGACAGCACTTCTGTTTGTGTTGCACTGAGAGGAGTAAGAAATTGGCTATAAATCCAATATAGGTATGATGAGAAGGGAACAAGAATTGGATCTGGCAAAACCATTCTTGTTAGGCCAGCGGAGCTTGTAGTGCTTTGTAATTCTGAAAAGCTTTCAAGCTTTCATCTTAATGGCTGCGGCAGAGGGGCCACCTCTGATGGGACCAACGGTGGAAGCTTACTGGGATGCATGTCAGGCTTTTGCCATGGTCCTGGGACATTTCTGCCTTTGCACAACAGTGTCTCTTCCCGGGAGAGTAAGCTCTTCTCAGTGCTGAGGGCTGGCAGTTCAGAGCTGTGGCTGATAGTTTGACAGGCACTGGGGTAATTAGAAGTCTTGCTCTTGCAAGACTGTGGAGACGAGAAAGGACAGGTCCTTGGGCATTGCCAGTTCACTGTGCAGCAGTGCCACGTATTCCTCTTACAAGGGGGTGCCTTACTCTTGCTGGAAGCAGTTGTTCACGTGTCCAGCTGGATTTCTTAATGCAAATCTCTGTGAAAAAAAATCACCACTTTGATAAACCTCCTATGATAGAAGGATGCCAACTGCGTTTTGGTTACAGGTCTTGAATTCTGAACTGATTTCTGAATTGGTATGATTCTTCCTCATTGCGTGGCCATTACAGGCTGGGTAAAATCAGCAGGCAGTCTGTTATTAGAAAAGGTTTTTAGTGCCAAATACTCATAAAAAGGAAAGCCATAGCTTGCAGTGATAAAGGGCTAGCTGTGACCAGTGGTCCGAATGCACTGATGTGTACTGTAATGGCATATTGGCATATATAATGGCATATCTGAGACACACAGGGAGGTAAGTAAGTTTCATAGCTGGGGTTGATGAATCTTACTTGAACAACTTCAAGCAGCTGACAACCTTCTCTCATGAATATAGTAGCCTTGCACAGTCTTCCAATGTATGTCAGGTTGAACGGGGCTTTGAGAAGCCTGGTCTAGCGGAAGGTGTCCCTGCTCATGGCATCAGGGGGTTGGAACTAGATGATCTTTAAGGTCCCTTCCAACCCAAAACATTCTGTGATTCTATGTAGTCAATATATGCTGTCTGTGTATAAACTTCTTGATATACAGCTATGACTGTAACAAGCAAGAAAGCCACCTGATGTCTCTGTAATGTTAATTGTTGAACTGTCTCTTTTTTTTTCCTTTGAAGTCCCACCCAATTTGACTGTTCCTCAAGAAAAGTCTCCCCTGGTCACCCGGGAAGGGGACACGATCGAACTGCAGTGCCAGGTGACAGGGAAGCCCAAGCCCATCATTCTCTGGTCCCGAGCAGACAAGGAAGTTGTGATGCCGGACGGAGCAATGCAGACTGAGAGCTACGATGGGATCCTGAGAATAGTGAACGTGTCCAGGGAAATGACAGGAACCTACAGGTGCCAGACCAGCCAGTACAATGGGTTTAATGTAAAGCCCAGAGAAGCTTTGGTACAGCTCATTGTACAGTGTAAGTAGACCCTTATTTTCTTTCCATGTGGTTTTGCTGAAAAAAAGAAGTTGATTTATTTCCTCCCCTAAATACACAGCAGCAAGTCTTATGGTTGTTAATATTTTTGATGCTGTATTGTTTGGCTCTCTAGTTCCCTGAATCCATGATTATAATGTAAATGTAGAAGTAAAAGTTACATAGGAGCCCCATTTATATTAAAAAAAAAAAAAAGTGTGAAGCAATCATTATTTTGTTAATGCCTAGCTTTAAGTTTCTTGACACAGGAACAAGCACATGAGAGAGGAGGACATATTTCTGTAAATGCAGATCTGATACTGATCTCATTTGTTGATACTATGTAAAAGAAGAAGAAAAAAATGAGGAAAAGTGCTGTTCCATCTTAGCTGATCTGCATGCAAATCTGTATCATCTGCTCTGTCTTTGCAAACCAGCAGCATCAGGAACGGGAAGGAAAACATAAGAGGAAATCAATTATTTTGCAAATGCTCAGTGTTTATTATTGGAAAATGAAAAGTCTGGTTTGATATGCTTTATGGGGAATAATGAGGCATTCTTCCTTGCTGTGTAACTGATAAAGTTGTTCACTAAATGAGTTTCATGTTTGTTGTATTGTTGGTACTTATTCTCACTTCTTTTACATAGTGACTTGTGTAGCCCTTATTTACTCTGGTTTCAGATGCCCAAATATTATGGCAGATTTTCTTTTTAGCAGTGTTCTGTGCTCAGCACAACTGACCTCTTTTGGGGCCTCCAGGGATGAGATGCTGCAATATACATAGTTATTACTAATAATCAACTGATCTGTTTATTTCCAAGGTCTGTTGTATAACAAATTATTTATGCACTTGATTACATGTTGTGGTACTTGCAGTGCTTTCATCAGAGCTGTTTAGTGGTGTGCAGGCATAGCTTTTTATCAAAGCATGCTACTGTCCCAGGCACCAGTCACATGTATTGATGCAAGCTGGAGCCTTCTTGCTTGCACTTCTCCTGGTTGCGGTTTCATCTGCGTTAGGACTGGCATCATCCTACCTGCACTGATGTATCTAAACTGGGAGCAGAGGTGTCTTCGATTCCCTCTCCAGAGGTTGCAGAAAATGACTTGAATCTTAGATCATCCTGCAGAGAGGTCTTCCTCTCCCTCTAGAGCATGAAAGGACCACTGGGGTATTAGTTTCCTACAGATGGCACTTTTAAAGCAGATGGGTTGTTGTAGGGAAGACTGGCTCCTGTACGAACAGGCTGGACAAGCCTTAATTCACAGCTGTGGTAGCACTAGGGAGCCCTTACTGGCAAAAGAATTTTTACTCAGGTCATTGTTACTAGCATTACTAGTGTTTATTCTGATGATGGTTTTTGTGGTTATCATCACTAAGACTACCTTTGATGACACACAGTGTTGGTTTCAGATCTCCTATAAGAAGCCATCATCATTATAAGTGTTTAATTTTAGCCACACAGAAAAGGTGGTTTATAGAAGGTGAATGTCATGAAAAGGCAGAAGACAAAAGACATGGAAAGGCAGACTGTAGGATATGTGGAGAGGGCCCCAAGTCTGTCCTGTAAATGGACATGCCACCAGGGCACAGGTCATTGTCAGAGCTGGTAGAGCTTGTGGAACTGTGTCCTGGACCCCCACAGCATGAATGGTGCAAAAGAGGAGGGTTGATGCTGGAGAAAATACAGAGAGCAGCAGCACAAAGCTGCTACAGGGGGTTTCAGTTGCTTCAGTTTATCAGGTGTATTCACAGAGGCTGGATATGGCATGTTCTGGCTACCACAGCTTTCCTAGGACATGCCTTTGCCATCTCTTTCAAACATGAAAAACACAAGAAAAGATTAATCCATACAGTTGTAACTTAAAGAAAATCTGTGTTGTGAAAGCTTGCAGTGATACTCCCAGCCTGTGGCTTCTGGGACATGGGGTGGGACAGCTTGGAAGACAGCAGCAGTGTGGCTCATAGAAATGGTTGACTAAGACTGCTTCCTCATAGCTCAGTCGTGATGTCACATCTGAACAGTGGTGGCTGATAAAGGTGATAATGTACAAAATTTTTTGATTGAACTGAAGATTGGCTTGTGTGGTGGCTTCAGGCCTTCATGATCTTGAATGACAGACAGGAAACATGAATAATAAACTCGGTAAAAGCTGATTCACAGAGTCCCTGTGAATCTCTGAATAAGATCCACTGTACAGTGGAGGAATGGTTGTCATGAATAAAGAGGAGGGAAAGCAGCATCTTTCCCCTCTCCTATCACTGATTTGCTGTGAGAACTAGGAAAGATTTTGTTTCTAGGCGCATTGGTCCTCCACCTTAGCCATTTTGTTTATGTTCCTTTGTTGTCAGTGTCCATCATCTTTTCCGTACGTCTACAGAGTCCAGCATAATTATCATCACATCCTCGTTTGGGTTGATTGTGATGATGTGTGGAGGATGGCCACATGGATGATGGACATGTGGATAATGCAGGCTTCTTCAAGTAATTTAGTTCATGTGTGTGAGAGTGTTCCTGATGAAGCAAGAGCTTTAGCAGAAAAGCCATGGAGGTAAATCCACTCCAGCAGTTACAAACAGCAAAACCCCAAAGTAACACCTGGGGCAAGCTAGCCATCCCATCCCTGCTGCCAAGAATGTCTTGTCTGAAGTTTTTAAAGATTTTATTTCTAAAGTTCTTGGAGAGCTTCATGAGCTCAGAGGAGCCCTGTTTCATGATTCCTGATAATAAAAGCAATTTTCAGCTTTTCAGCTTTTCTTTTTTTAAATCCCCAGAAGCTAAGTTTACTTGGGGATACTGGAAGAACAAGTATTCAGAAGCACTCTTGACATGGCTCTGTATAACAGCTGTCATGTGTCCTACATTTTGTCCTGGAAGACTTTATTTCAGGTCTTTTGCAGTCATGGAAGCTCTTCTGTTTATCCAGCAAGGTCTGTGTCGTTTATTCTGGTCTCCGTTTCAAAGCTTTTGTGCAGACACTGCTATTTTCTTCATAAGGGAGGCAATCACGCGTTTTGTGTTAGAGGAAGGGATGGTTGAATATAGTTCTTGGGGAATGTTTCCCAGGATGTGGACAAGGACTTCCCACCAGCTGCACTTCTTCAGGACTTAAGCCAGTCCTGATGGACCCAGTGGGATGGCCCCTGCTGGCTTCCAAAGGCAGGTGGATGTACTGCTTGCATTGCTACTCCTTTACAATATTTTGCTGGTATGAAAAGAAGCTTCGTTTTTATGTATGTTTTCTATTGCATTAGATGCAGCCATTTACATATTCTGAGAGATGAAACAACTTGAAAATGGTTATAACAAGCAGGAGTATAACAAGTATTTACAGATTTTTCTTTAATCTGTTCTTGTTTGGATTTCTACTAATTCAGATCCTAGCAAGTGACAACTTGGAGACAAATGGACAAAGCAGATATTATGTAATGCTTTGATTGTTTTTCTTGTGAGAGGAAAGTACATGTGTTCACATTGACTTCAGCATCATTCCCGTAACTAGCACAGCATTTATTGTATTGTCATAAAAATCAGTTATTTTCAGTAATTTTGTAATATTTAATTTAGATGCTTTTGTGAGTTACAAACAGGGAAAGATATTTAATGAAACAATTCTATAACAACTTATTGATTTCATTTTGTGTATGGTGGCTGGGTACGTAAGCAGATCTATTCATGGACTTTGGTAGCTTGATACATTCCCCTTCTCTGGGGCATCTTAAGGGTTTTTACTTGTGAGAGTAGGACTTTCTGGCTCACCAAAGTGGTGTCACAGGGCAAATCTTTCAGCGGAACTGGTGCCCTAGTTCATATCTGTTGGTTCAAACTAAAGAAAAATCAAATATAAATTCAAAGATAAAAGCTTTCCCCCCTCCCCCAAATTTGACCCTCTCTCTGTTCATGTGACCAGTTTTAATAAAGTCTTTCTGTGCCTTATCTCTCTTTTCCTCTGCAACCTCTTTAACCCTGTGTTCAGTGCTGTCAGGATCCTAGACTGTGAGCTCTCTAGGAAAATATGCTTTGATTTCTGTGCTTTGACACAGTTTGGCCTCAAGTTGTGGTTTAAGAATTTTGATTTTTCATGTTTACCATCAAATTCTAATAGGAAAATGAAAATGCATGATGGAGAAACCAAGAGTAAAGGAAGACATCTCCCCTAGCTCAGGTCTGTGGACAAGAATTGGCTGGTATGCTTTTCGGTACACTTTGAGTCATGTCATCCTTGGCATGTCCTGAAGTGATTGCTCAACAGTAAAATACAGCAAATGAGATACTGCTTTGAGGTCTAAGTGAGTAGGCCTTAGAGAGGAATTTAACTTAAAATTTTACACATCTGAATGTTAGGTATCTGTGCTCCCTGGGTGGCTATGGAGAGCAAAGCATCCATAGAAAGCAGCAGAGCTTGTCCTACAGAAATTGTCTGGGATGGCTTTTCTTTGTCCCACTTGCCTGTCTGTAAAATAGAGCTAACAGTTCCTACCCTAGAGGTTTTGGAGATGAGATTCTGAGGATGCTGTAATAATGAAAGACATGTAACATCTGATTTGATCAATAAACCTCGTATCCTTTGCTTATTGCTAGTATTATCCTGTGGTGTTTTCTCTTAGGTGTGTTGGCATTCATCACAAGCTATGGGCTTTACTGATTTTGATCTTCATTGTTTGGCAGATTTTACAAATGCTGCTAGCTTTTCTTGGACAGAAGAGCTAAACACCTTCACTGGGATTTGGTTGGTGGTGTTATTGTAATGTTCACCTTCCCTAGGAGATTGAGAAGTATAAAAGACCACTTTGTAAGGTGATTCATTTCTTGCTTCTTTCCCCAAAGAATAAAAGAAAGGTGAAGTTAGTCATGATGCTAGGGACAGAGCTGAAGATAGTCTGTCATCACAGATAAGCCATCAGCAGAGCCTGGTCTGTGAAGTCCTGCTGGCACAGGTTGTCCAGTTGCCATGCAAGCAAAGACAGCACTTGGAGAGCAGAGATTTTCCCAGGACCCAT